TAGATCATCCTGGATCAGCGTGGGTCTTAAATCCAATGACAAGTATCCTTCTCAGAAAAGGAGAGAAGACACAGGGAAGAAAGCGATGTAAAGATAGAGACAGAAATTGGAGTGATAAACCTACAAGGATTGCTGGCAGCAACCAGAAGGTAGCATAGAGGCCTGAAACGGATTGTCGCTCGGAGCCTCCGTAAGGAACCAACCAGGCAGACACCTTGATTTCAGGCTTCTGGCCTCCTGAACTGTGAGAGAACAAATTTCTGTTGTTTGAAGTCTCCAGGTTTGTATCAGTTTGTTACAGCAGCCTTAGGAAATAAATATAAGTTCCCAATAAAACCGTGGGTGCTGAGTTCCTGATGAACTTACCTGGTCGGCAACATTTCACACCCATTGTCACAACTCCCTGGGACAATTAAGTTTGTCCTGTGTAACTACGTGATGACCGTGGAAGCTGGCACCTGGTCTCCCCCAAACTTAGCCGCATGAGCCTTTTCACTTTGCTGATTTTACCTTGTATCCTTGTCCTGTAATAAATCATGGCCGTGAAAATGACTCTATGCTGAGTCCTATGAGCCCTCCTACAAATCATCAAATCTGGGGGTGATCTCGCAACTCCCATGCAATAAAAACTACAAAGCACTGCTGAGAAGAATTAGACAAGACCTAAATAAATGGAGAGACATGCTATGCTCATGGATTAAAAGACTCAATATTGGGCTTCCCTGGTGGCACAGTGGTTAAGAATCCGCCTGCCAATGCAGGGGACACGGGCTCGAGCCCTGGTCCGAGAAGAACCCACGTGCCGCGGAGCAACTAAGCCCGTGTGCCATAACTACTGAGCCTGTGCTCTAGAGCCCGCGAGCCACAGCTACTGAAACCTGCACGCCGAGAGCCCGTGCTCCGCAACAAGAGAAGCCACTGCAATGAGAAGCCTGCGCACCGCAACGAAAAGTAGCCCTTGCTCGCGGCAATTTGAGAAAAGCCCACACGCAGCAACAAAGACTCAACTCAGCCAAAAATAAATAAATAAATAAATAAATAAATAAATAAATAAATTTAGTTTTAAAAAATTCCTTAAAATAAAAAGAAAGACTCAGTATTGCCAAGATGGCAATTCTCCCCAAACCTGATCAATAGATTCAGTGCATTATCGGTGAATTTTTCAGCAGATGGTCGTTTTTTTTTTAATAGAAACTGACAAGCTAATACTAAAATTTACACAGAAATGCAAAGGATTGAGGTAGCCAAAACAGTTTTGAAAATTAGAGGACTCACACTTCTTGAATTCAAAATGTACTATAAAGCTAGAATAATCAAGACAGAATAGAATTGGCATAAGGATAGGCATATATAGCAATAGAACAGAGTAGCAAAAAAAAAAAACCCTCAAAAATATGATCAACTGATTTTTTTTATAAAGGTGCTAAGTCAATTCAATAGGGAAGCAATATCTTTTTTTTTTGACCACGCTGCACAGCTTGTGGATTCTCATTTCCCTGACCAGGGATTGAACCCGGGCTGCGGCAGTGAAAGCCCGGAATCCTAACCACTAGGCCACCAGGGAACTCCCAAGCAATAGCTTTTTTTTTTTTTAAAGAGACAGTCTTTGACTTATAACGACTTTAAAAAATTTATTTATTTATTTATTTGGTTGCAGTGGGTCTTAGTTGTGGCAGGCGGGCTCCTTAGTTGTGGCACATGGGCTCCTTAGTTGTGGCATGTGAACTCTTAGTTGCAACATGCATGTGGGATCTAGTTCCCTGACTGGGAATCGAACCAGGCCCCCCTGCATTGGGAGCATGAAGTCTTAACCACTGCACCACCAGGGAAGTCCCCCAAGCAATATCTTTTTAAAAAATGATATTGGAAAAATTGGTTATCCACATTCCAAAAAAAAAAAAAAAAAGTTAAACCCTTACTTCACACCGTACACCAAAATTAGTTCAAAATGTATCACAGCCCTAAATCTGAGAGGTGAAATACTTCTAGAAGAAACATAGGAGAAATTATTTGGGTTAGGAAAAGATTTGATAGGTATGAGACCATAAACATACTACCAAAAAGAAAAATATTCGTAACTTAGACTTCATCAAAATAAAAAACCTTTGCTCTTCAAAAGATGCCATTAAGAAAAATAGAAGACAAGCCACAAACCAGGAAAAAAATTTTAAATCGTATGTCTGATAAAGGACTTGATTCTAGAATATATATTTTTTTAAAACCTTACAACTCATAAGACAAATGACCCAATTTAAAAAGAGGCAAAAGATTTAAATAAACATTTCACCAAAGAAGGTAAAACAAATGACTTACAGGCACATAAAAAGATGCTCAAGGGACTTCCTTGGTGGTCCAGTGGTTAACACTCTGCGTTCCCAATGCTGTGGGCCTGGGTTCGATTCCTGGTCAGGGAACTAGATCCCAAGGCATGCCACAACTAAGAGTTCACATGCCGCAACTAAGAGCCCCCATGCCACAACAAAGATCCTGTGTACTGCAACTAAGACCTGGTGCAGCCAAATAATTAATATTAAAAAAAAAAGATGCTCAACATCAGTCATCATTAGGGAAATTCTAAATTAACCCACATGTCACTCACTACACAACCCCTTGGATGGCTACAATTACAAAGGCTGACAACCTCAAATGCTGGTGAGGATGTGGAAAAACTGGAACCTTCATATATTGCTGGTGGCAACGTCAAATTGTAAAGCCACTTTGGAAAATAGTTTGACAGTTTCTTATAAAGTTAAACATAAACTGAACATACAGCCCAATACTTTCACTCCTAGGTATTTACCCAAGAGAAGTTAAAACAGGTGTCCACAAAAAGACTTGTACAGGAATGTACATAGCAGCATTATTACAGGCAAAAACTGGAAATGTTCCAAACATCAATTGGTGTGTTGACTCTAATAACATAATAGCCAGTTGTTTCACCAGCAAAAACAAGTTTATTCAGGAATAGCCAGAGGAACTGTAATTCACGATGTGGAAACTATGGCAGACTACAAGTAAATCCAAAAAACAGGAAAAGGGAGTTTGCTTTTATAGGGAAAAGGGGTCAGTTGGGAGGTACTGTGTTAACTAGAGTCAGCTGGAGGAGCCTGGAGGCTTCCCATTGTTTGGGCTGTGACAGTCTCTGATTGGCTGGGATGTCCTTGGGCCAGAGGGATTTCTTCCTCCTGTTGGAGAGAGAGTAGAGGCACCTGTCTTCCTGTTTCTGGTGATTGAGGATGCACGGTGGGCATGACAGAACACCCTAACGACCTGTCCTGGCTCCATCGTCAACTGAGGTTTCTTTAAATAATTCCACTGTGAAAGGTTAAAGAAAATGTCACGTATCCAGACAATGAACTACTATTCATATAAAGGAACAAACTACTGATATATACAACAACATGGATAAACTTCAAAAATATTATGCGAAGTGCAAGAAACCAGACAGAATAGGCTGCATATTGTATGTATTAGCACAATTACCACAAACTTAGTGGCTTAAAACAATGCACACTTATTATCTTACAGTTTTGGAAGTCAGAAATCTGAAATGAGTCTTATGCGGCTTAAATCAAGGTGTCAGCAGAACTGCATTCCTTCTGGAGGCTGTAGGGGAGAATCGTTTCCTTGCCTGTTCTAGCTTCTGGAGGCTGCCTGCATTCCTTGGTTCATGGTCCCTTCCTCCATCTTCAAAGCCAGCAGTGTGGCAACTACCAGTTTCTCTCTCTTATTCCCTTATCACATTGCCTTCTCGACTCATTTTGGCCTATGGACTGTAGGCAGAAGTGCTGTAGATATCACTTGTCGGCCAACGCAATTAATAGCTAGCAGGCCTCCATTAAACCCTTTTCCACTGCCAATGACCTAGGAGGCCATGTGTTCCAGAGGTAAGTCAAGGAGAGCCACCTGTCTCTCCCACCAGTCCATGCACAGTGAAAAACCTGCTTAAGACTTGAGGGTTGTTACTCCAACCTAGCTTAGCCTAGCCTAACTTTGGAGTGGGGAGCTTTAGTTTAAAAAAAAAAAAAAAAGTAAAATATATATAGCGTGTCAGTTAAGTTATTGTCTCAGCTCCAAAGTCGCCCTTCCATGATCGGCTGTGTGATGCTGGGGGGTGGGGGTGGGGGGACTCTGCGGCCACATTTCGAGGAGCAAGGGCTGGTGCCTGGCTCTGCCAAGAGTAATGCTGGAGGCAGATTCGACGTCAAAGAGGGAGGGGGGCTTGCCCCCCGCCCCCAGCCACACTTGGCCGCCGCAGCAGAAAATAAAACGGCACAGGTGGCTCGAATTATGTGTGTTATACGCTGTGTCTGGTTTCGACAGACAGGTCTGGGACAGTATGCAAGGCAGCCCAAGAGGGGGCCCGGAAATATCAGGAAGGGCGCTGGACGCAAGAGGCAAGGAGGGGACTGGCGCGGGCGGGTCTGCACGCACTGACGACCAGGCCATTGGAAACAAAGATGCGCCAGTGTTCAGACACGAACCCCGGACGTGACAGCTCTCTGCAGGACCCCATACCCGGAGGAGACCCAAAGGAGAAAACTCGAGGGACTCCCAGAATCGCTGGAATCTGTGTGTGATAGTTGGTAGAATGGGAGCTCGTAACGACGAAATCCGGTCAGGAAAGCTGGCCGGGTAAAGTACCCGCCAGTCTCTACTTCGCCCGTCCTCACGGTGTCCCCGGGCACCGCGACCCCGCCTTAACTCATCTTCCCCCGGGCTCACACGCCCCGCTGGAAGTCCCTCCTCCAGGCTTGGGGCCGCTCTGGCCCGCGCGGTCCCTTCTCTTTGGTGGGCTCGGCGCCGCTCCGCCGCACGGCGGTCCTCCGGCCGCCAGGGGCGTGCGAGGCCGAGTCCGGGCCGTTCTGGTCCGAGAAGGCCGCTCGACTGCTCCGCGGAGCGGTCCGGGCGCGCCCGGGCCACCGCCTCCAGTCCGTTCCCCCGGCAACGCCTCGAGCCGTTCCCCCGGCAACGCGCGGCCGTTCTCAGTAGCAGGGGCCATGGACCAGGGGTCGGGCGCCGGGCCCCACCGGGCTCGCGGCCGCCTCGGCGCGCCGTCCTGCGGAGCGCGGGCTCCGGGGGCACCCTGGGCACGCTTCTCGGCCTGGCTGGAGTGCGTGTGTGTGGTCACCTTCGACCTGGAGCTGGGCCAGGCGCTGGAGGTGAGGGGGGCAAGCGGGCCGGGGGGAGGCCGGGGAGGGCGGGTCCTGCTCTGTCGCCGCCGGCTAGTGTGGCTCAGGCATCGCCGAGGGGCGGCGGGAATCCCTCCGCAGGTGAGGTACCCTCGGGCAGACAGAACCCCCAGGTGGCCTCTTCCTCCTCAGAAACCCTGCACCTGTCACTTCCTGAAAGGTGCGCTCCCAAGCAGAAGAAAAAAAGTTAAGTTGCCAAAACCGCCCTTTGGGGTGGAGGAGCGAAGAGCCCTGCACTTCGGATACCCAAAGTGGTACTCTTGATTTTTCTCCCAGTAAAAAGCTGTCTCCTCTCCTTTCCTCTCCCCCGCCTTTCCCACACTATGATACCTTCTCCCCTCATTTACTCCAGCCAAAATCCCAGGGGTCACCCTTGACTGCTCCCCTCCCTCCACCCCACATCCCATCCGGGAACAAGGCTGACAGCTCCACCTACAGCAGGGCTGTCAGATTCATTACCACTGCTACTGTACCCCCAAGTCCAATATTTGTGGTTCTCTTGCTTAAATCTTTGGAAACTTCCTTGTTCACTTAGAGTCTGATCCAGACCCTTTGCGGGTCACAACCAGACCCAAGAGCCATCTTTCTGTTCACAGACTCTGCCCCCAGCCCCCCCAGCCTGGGGTGTCCCCACTACCTGTAAGGCTCTTCCCTACCCCCACCCGTGAGGGTGTGAATGAAAACATGACAGACTCAGGGAGGAAAGCCTTCTGTAGTAATGCAGGCCTGGGGGGACGGTCTTCTCCAGGCCCTGAAGGCCATGACATAGACCATGGAGCTGACCAGGGCAGGGGAGGCTGGGAGGTACGCTTCAGCACGCTGTCAGAAGGAACTTTCTGAGAACCCAGGAGGTGGCGCATCCGTGACTGCAGTTGGCTGAGATGAGGCTGATCAGCCATCGTTGGAAAGCCAGCGTCAGGGGGAGAGGGTGTTTTCCAAGGCCTTGCTGAACTCCATGAGGCTGTGGGAAGCCCAAGTCCTAACAAACAGCAAGGGCTGACACTGCCCAGCTCGCTGTGGAGACCCCATTCCACCACACCTGTCCCCACGTGGTGCACCAAGTTAACTTGACGCAGGGACCTGAGCACAGAGAGGTGAGGTGATTTGCCTAACATCACAGAGCCCACATTCCTGC